CGCACAAGAATTCGTCATCAAATACTCAAAGTGTTTCTTTACATCGTTCATTTAAAATAATATCTCTTAGATTAAAAAAAAACACCAAAACATTCAACTCTCCGTTAAAGAATATGTAAAGATATGGTTTTTATATTAATATAAAGCAAATGCAGCATATTATTACTAAACACAAATGTAAAACAACATACCTGCCAATGGATACTGCAAAGCAAAAACCAAACAACCAAATAAATGGATCCTCATCTTGAACGTCTTGGTGGTAAACGGAATTTTATCAGCCGGCAACAGCGGTTTTATAAATTTAAGCCCTTAAACAACATGTTCGTTGTTTTATACCCTTACAAAGTGCCTTCAGTCATGATAAGAGAGAAGATTTATTACTTGCGCAGACAAAATTTAAGGGCAAAATTCTATTTTAATCATGTGCATTTAACCTAAGGAGGGTTAAAAAGAACATATCTTAAAAACACACACACGCACGCACGCACGCACGCACGCACGCACACACACACACACACATACACACACACACACACACACAAAACACACACAAATAAATAAATAAAATAAAAATAAAAAATAAACAAACATGCAGTTTCACAAAAAGATTTACAAACAAAATGATCTCGCACATTTTTATGCTGTTGCAGTTGATGCCATTAGAATCTTAGATTTTTTAAAAATCTTACAAAAATGTATTAACAATGATAAATAAATATAATATAGAAATAGAAAGAATTTGATAAATTGAGAATAATGTAAATGAAAATTGAGTAGGAAAAGCTCCGATTATTTCTTTTAAATCTTTATTCTTGGACAAGGGAAGAATACCTACGTCATATAAAATGCCCGATTATAGAGTAAAAATAAAAAAGTCAAACCACAAATCTATGCTAATGGATATTTCAATACACAGAAAATATACGTCGGGTATTTTAAAATATGCTCTGTCTTGGATTTTAAACTATTTTTCATATCTCAAGTGTTTATTTGATCATTGTAAGAATGCAGTTGATTTATTCAGCATTTGTCCATCAGATTTATAGCATCGTTTTTTATTACTTTATAAGCAAAAAGACGTAATTTATATGTCTTTGTTAACTTAGGCATACAAATAGAAACGCGCAATTATGTGTCTACCCATCACGGAAGTTTTAAAATCTTCCCGGCAACCGTGATTTAATAAGACAAACTGAAACATGAAATAAATCTAAAAGAAATAATTTGCTTATAATACAATAGATGTAATTAATTATAAAGATTATATTCGTATACTGTTTAACTTAACTGCTTTGAGACACTTAAAAAGACCCTTAAAGGGATGGATATATATACCAGCAGATCAAAATCAAAGGATTTAGCTTGACAAAGTGTATTTTTATGCAACTCTACTTTAATGGTTCTAATATATCAAACTTAAATGACTGACATTCATGGATTTTCTTTTTTTTGCTATCAAAAGAGTATTGTACCTTGCTAACTTGTTATCATGCAAAAGGTGAAATCGCTGCAGTAATGATTCTATTTTGTTCCACAAAAATAATGATATTGTTGCATAGAATGTAAACAGATTGCAATATAACGTGCCATTATGTCCATCTAAGTGTATTTGATGAGTGTACAGTGAAAAGTCAAATTAACTTTACATTTCGTAATAATTGTTTACAGTTTTAAATTTTACTTTACATATATTATCAATAGCCCGCATGAAAAACGGAAAACTCTATCATTAGGAATGTACCGGTAAACTTCAATTAAAAAGAGAATGGGCATACTTTTATATTATAGGCATTCTTATATTTTATCCAAAATTATGTTAGTTATCAATTATTGATCAACGCCATTCTTTTGAAATATATAGCTTTACTTGACAACGAAAAAATGAGCACAATGTCACTTTAATAAAAACCGGAACGGTCGTTATTCGGCTGCAAAGCAGCCGAGTCTTTTAGAACTTTGAAAAAGTCGCATGATTTACTGTGGAATGACAGGAAGATCAACTTTACGAGTCGTCCATAAAATAAAAGTTTATTAAAACATTCAAATTAAGGACCAATTAAAGATTTCTTGCTTCATCTAAAAATATTTTTATTTTACATTTTCCTCAAATGGAAAGACAATGTTCTCTTATCTTCGTATACAAATAATGGACTGTGCAACTGTTTGTAGTTTACCGAGATTTAATATCGTGTAACCAGGCGTATATCATGCGTAAACACGTTTCATCTATTAATAGCAAATGCAAATCTAAAGGGGAACTCTAAATCACTCTAAAGGCGTGCACGTCGTGGAGAAGGCACACATTGCTTTACCTTAAGAAACTTGTTGGTCATTTGTTTATTAAAATTTTAAAAATTGTTAATTTGGGATAAAATTAAAGATGTCCGATGCTTAAGGATAAACCATTACAAGCGTTTCAGCTCTGTGTATATATAAATAACATACATATTGTCGGATTCCTGGCACAATACGACATTGACTAAAGGGTACCCGTCATGTCACAGCATAAAAGTGTACTACCAGTACGACGTGATGAAATTTTCTTGTCGTTATGCTTCCTCTTTAATTTCAACTAAACAGACATTCGTCTTTATGTATAAATAGCAATTTTTCGGTTATTCTAAAGATATGCAGCGCACAGCTGACCATTCCTTCGCAGCCATTTTACGCGTGCGTAAAAGCTTGCTCATAAGTATCTGTAATATCAATCAGGTTTTAATCACATCTACGAATACAAATGTATGCAACCAATACATTAATCCCCAAATCAAGTGTGGTATAAACACATAGTTTAAAACCGATCGATAAAATACTGTTTTTATGAGCAGTTGGGACCAGTTAACTTTAAGTTTAGATAAAAAATATTTACAGAATTTATACAAATATTCAAGGACATCTATAATTTGTTATTTTATTGATGTGAATTTAAAGCGTCTACCCAATACAGCACACGTGTATGTGTGAATCAATTATCATGAACGCGCCCGTCGGCGTTTGCCTTGGCGTTAATTAATCTTTCTGTTTAGGTTCATGTTCTCAGAAACATAAATTGTTACTTACTTCAAACTTAGTATACAAGTGTATTGCCTTAAAAGGCAACCATTTCTAGTCCAGTTTGAATGGATTGCATTTCAAAAGGGCTTGTTATTTTTTCTTAGTTACGCTCACGTTTTGATCTACTTGACGACATGACGCTTGATACAAAGAAAGGTCTTGAAAAAAAATTTCTCAACATCAATGACACTTATAGTCAAAGGTGAAGCAAAAGGGTCATGATGGCCCTTATATCGCTCACCTGATTATAAAGGCTCTTGATAAATATTGTTAACAATGAATGAAAAGCGGTCAAATTTCCAGCATATTTTGGCTGATAATATTACATTGATGTCGTTTACAAATTTTTCTTATTATGGTTCTGTGGCCTAGTTTTTGATTCCAGATAATCCATTTTTTAACTTAAGCTAGAAATTATCAAATTAACATTTCTGACATTTTTAGGATATTTTAGCTGTTAAATGTTAACTCTAGAGTGTTAATAAGGTGTTACTATATTTCGTCTGTGAGACCAAGTTTTTAACCCAAGATGACCCAAATTCAAACTTGAGCTAGAAATCATCGAAATCAATCTTTCCAAACAATTTTCAAGACATTTGGACCAACACAATGGTCCTTGAATGTTAACAAGGTTTTTTCCATAGTCAGGCTGTGTGACCTAGTTTTAGACCCTAGGTAAACCATATTAGAAATGATCGTTTCAAACATTTTCCCAGGATATTTAGACTGAAATGTTTTCACTAGATTTTTCAATATTTCGTCTATGAAACTTATTTTAGACCCAAGTTGACCCATGTTCAAACTTGACCTAGAAGTCATGTAAACAACCCTTCTGACCCATTTCCAGCATATTTAGGCTAGTAATGTAACTAATGTTTCCTTTATATAGTGGTAAATATCTTATTTGTGTCTACAAATATGACAAAGGCGAAGTACAAGTTTATAAACAAGAGCTGTCGGTAGGACATCAACTCTCGACTATTCTTAGTACTTGATAGTAAAAGAGCCTTGATAATGTAAAACTTTTTAAGTTAACAAAAGGGCAAACTTTTTTCTTTAAATCCATGTAAGAGTTATAGGCCTTGGAGAGAGTCCTATTATGAGTATAAAATTTCAACTTGTTTCAAAGTCATATGTCAAAGGACTTGGAAAATATTCGAGGAATTACAAAAAATTTAACGTAAATTCTAACTCAAAAAAGGGGCATGATTCTGTCACCAATGTTACCTCCTCCCCCTGTTTACCTGTTGGGGTCATGATGGTGAACAGATGTGCAAAGTTTCCAAGCCACATGTCAATGGACTTTGAAAATATTTGAGATGTTACAAAAACTTAAAAGAAAAGTCTTAGTCGAAAAGGGGCATAATTCTGTCAAAATGCTTGATACAGTTACCTCCTCCTGTCTACTGGGTGGGTAATGATGGTAAACAAATGTGCAAAGTTTCAAAGCCACATGTCAATGGACTTTGAAAATATTTGAGGTATCAAAAAAAACTTTAAAGTAAATTCAAGTCGAAAAAGGGGCATAATTCTGTCAAAATGTTTGATACAGTTACCACCTCCTGTCCACTGATTGGGGTCACAATGGTGAACAAGTGTGCAAAGTTTCAAAGCCATATGTCAATGGACTTTGAGGTATTACAAAAAATTTAACATAAGAGGTTACGCCGACGCTCGGGTGACTACAATTATAGATCAAATAGTCGAGCTAAAAACTAAAAGATTAATAAAAAAGGTAAAATCTAAAAAATAATGATGATGATAATAATTATAATTCATGAATATATTGTGTAGACATATCTACATAAAAATACATGTGTGCACTGAAATACTTTTAACCAGAACCTTTAACGTTTAAGCGGAGATAAAAAAGGATATGGCAGTCAATTTGTAAAGTAACTTGATTTGATAGCCTATGTTATCGCGACGTAAAATTAGCAGACGTTTTGACATAAAAAGGAACGCGCTTACCGATACTGCCACACACACTGCTACAGTCGAGTTGAATAACACTGAAACCAGATTTAAAACGCTATGAGGACTTTCTTAAGTTTAGTTTTCAGTTTTGCCTGCCTATGGCTGTTGGATAATACAGGTATTCTTTACTCGTTATAAAATCTAAAGTAATATATCAATAATACAACGAATAAGTTACTGTGTGATTCTCTTGGAGCTCGTTTTCTATTATTACTCAGATTTATCATACGCATAAACATATGTTTCTATTTAAACTGCGTCATTGATATCATGTCAATAGAATGAAAATTATTTTCTAGGATCATATTGAAAAGATTCTGTGCCAAGCAGAAAATACTGTTCATGTCTTAATCAAAAATACTTAATAAAAATTATAACAAAACACACTTTCCTTTAACAAGACAATTGTTATGTCCAGATTTAAAGATGGACAAGTCCATTTTAAATATTTTGTGCCGTTTGAGTATAACAACAACAACAACAACATAAATGTTTTCAAAAAGTTGACATCTCCTAAGGCTTAAAATCAGAGTCAAATACAATTCGACATATTAATATATTTTAAAGAAGGAATTGATGATAAAAATAACTGTTTTAAAATAAGTTATCTGTCTTCATGGAAATTAAGTTGAAAATGACTTCTTTGTTTTAGATTCTATTTAGCCTTTACCCAGTTATATTCGAACGATAATAACTTATTTGCATTCCGTCTAAATTCTGTTTGCTAGCAAGCTTCAAATTTTCATTATCATATTTAAAATGTATAATGTACATTTCCAAAATATAAGCTGTACACGTTCATCTGAGAGATTAATATTTAAAATATTAATATATTTTTTAAAAATAACGTTACTATAAAAGTTAGTCTAAATCGGGAAAAGCACATTTAATAATTTAATAATAAGGAATAGTGAAAAGACATTTATAAGGGTTTTAATAGTGAACACACACACATATACATACATACATGCATGCATGCATGCATGCATACATTCATACATACATGCATGCATGCATGCATGCATGCATACATACATGCATGCATGCATGCATGCATGCATGCATACATTCATACATACATGCATGCATGCATGCATACATACATACATACATACATACATACATATAAAAATTTTTTATCAGTAAATGCTAGGGATAAATAAGTTAAACCAGTTTAGTCTTTGAGACAAGGTTTTCAATATAATTATGTAGCTACAAGTTTTAACCACTGATATATTGAATGTCGTGGTTTTATCTTTTTGTCTTTTCAAAACTGTGTTTAGAGAAATGGTAATAGTGGAAGCTATTTCATTATTTTTGTAGATGCAGCAATTACTGCTTGGACAAACCCAACTATAAATAGTGCAAACGGCAATGGAGCTTTTAGTGTTGCAGAGGACCAAGTATTGGCTACAACAATACAAAAGCTCGTTGCAACTGGAACCGGTACGATAACATACAGTGTTCCAAAAGCAGTCAGCCCTTTCACAGTGGACACTGCTTCGGGAGACTTAAAAATAACTGCAGCTCTTGATTACGAAACAAAAACTTCCTACGTACTTGTGGTAGAGTAAGTATGTTCATATTCAGAATAACATTAATGTTTTGTTGTGACTATCAAAAGCATCTGTTACTAAATTGTCAAATTTAAACTGAAGATACCTGTAATATTAGTCGTAATATTCATAAGTCTAAGACTTCTTGTCTTTTAAAGCTTTGAAATTAATTTTACAAACAAAAATAATTTTTGTTCAACAGTCTTACATTAAATTTACGGGAGTAAGATCCTTAACAAAAGTGCAATCAATATTTTATTAGAGCGGCCGACAGCGGTTCATCTACGGGCACAGCAACGATAACTATTACAGTAACTGATGTCAATGAACCGACATTTAGCGCCTCTTCATACGATCAATGTATCGTAGACAAATCTGCGATTGGTAAGTACAATCAACATGTATGTATATAGTTTTAACCCTTAATCTGACGAATATACATTGCTTTGAATTATTCACAGTCTATCATTCATAAACATGAATCTAGGTGTTGGGTCGTTTTTTGATTTACATGACAATGATAAGTTTCACTATCAAAATGCAGAAAAAGATGTGCAATTAGCAAAGAGTCTATAAAGACTGCATGGATACAAGTCGTCCTTTCACCAAACTGATAGCAAAGGCTTGTAACGTTTGGTTGCAACATGTTGAGGGTTTAAGTGTAAGTAAAAAATAATTCAAGCTGCAAAGTAATTATTTTACAAATTATGGATCAATATAATTTTACAAGTTTAAACACAGCAAAACGTATTCAATTTCAATCTGGAACCACCTTAGAATATTTCAAATTCTATAATGATATAACTGGCATTTTATCTGTTATTTTCATTGCTGTGTAGAATGTCATTTTATCATTTTATTTCGATGAAAACATTTTATTTATTAGAAAGATATATATGTTTAAATAGAAACTTAAATCTGTAGTAAAACTTAAAGATAAACTATGCTCAAATTTAATATTTGAATATATTTATAATTGCTACATAGTCTCTTTGTGAATTCAAAATAAACATGTTTTAACTTCACACAAAGTAGATATGTTTTGATTAAAATTCTACACACTATAGGTGGTTACAATATGAATATATAGTGTCATTAAAGAAAACCTAGCAGTTTTTTTTAAAGAAAAGACCAATTTTACTTGACCTGTAGTAGGGAACGCAGCTTCCAATACATAATTAAGTCATTCTTTTATTCAAATTGGACATATTTGGTAAAAATTTCATAGATTTCAATAAATTTCTATGATAAAATATTTTATCCAAAGATGAACATAGTATATCTTTAATAACGTTCCTATCATTTTAAAAACTACACTTGGTACCTATTTCAGTCGACAAAGAAAATGTACATATTTTGAATAAATAAAAGGAAAATACTCCATGTTTGTCTAGGCAAAACAAAATTATAATAAATTTTCTGTTTCTGATCTATGGCGAACCTTAAAACACCCAACACACCAAATTTGGAAACATTGACGGATAAAAGTGGTAAACAAAACATTAACGATTCGTATTAAAGTTTTGAATGAACTATCAGAAGTGAAATATAAAATGTGTGAAGACTGAATTTAAACTCGCATAAAACCGTAGCATATTTTCTCTATGTTTATATTTTGAGCGGACTGATACTATTTTTTTATTTTAGGTTATCTCAGAATACGCACTTATAAGGAATTTAACGTTACATGATCATATAATATCATCCTCTTACAAAACATGCTTTACCAGATGCTATTCATTTAATTTAATAACCGATTTAAATATGTCTTATATTGACATAGGCACTGAATTGATTACAGTAAAGGCAACCGACGCCGACACAACAGAAACAGTGACACATGTGATAGAAAGTAAGTAAACGCACTGAACACTTTATCTTATCATTTGTACTAGGATTTAACTCAATACAGGATTGGAGCAGTACCTCTAAACTTTTGCAGAAATCATGATCACAAAATAGACAAATACTATTTTTTATTCATTTATTTTCTACGTGTTTCTTTATCATTTTGTTACTTCCTTGAAAAAATAAGTTGGGTTCACAATTCCATGAGTTTTGAAAGTTCAGCAAATAATTAGATGTGCATACACTTACTTACCGTAGAGAGCGAGCTACGCTTTTTCGAAAATGGAATATCTAATAAATTTGCATTTCCTGTTTATAGGATGGTTTTTGACACCTTATGTAAAGATTTTTTTTGATGTCTCTTCAAAATAACACGTACAACATATTTCTGAAAATCAGTGTTTTTGAACTCATTGTATTCTCTTAACCTTAATAAAAGGATGAATCTTCGTGACAGTAAATACTAACATCTTTTGGTCACTAATTTAGCTTCGGGAAAAGGACAAAGATCTAAATTACATGTATCTATTTAATCCCTAACATTGTTTGATTAGTATAATCTAAAACTTGAAAAGGCAGCTATGATTATGAAAACTACAGCGCCTACAATATTTTACCAAATATTGTTTTTTGCTTGTTTAATTTTACCCGTAAAAATGGTGCTACATCAATCAAAAATATTTCATATAAGTGAAAAACAAACATTAAATATTAGATATTAATTTATATTTATTTTCATCATTTTAGAAACTACTTTCTCGTGTTGTGTATGTCAGACAATATTTAAATTTATTCATTTCATTATCATAAATTAGTTTTCATTAATTCATTAATTCTAGTCATGTTTGTCTCTAAACAATACATGAGGATGGCGAAAAATGTTGTACAGAACCTTGACATACACTTATATTAAATATATATTACTGTTTGCATAACAATTGCAGCCCATAAGCAAGTTGGCGTTTTCTTGGAGATAAATTAGATATTTTATTTTTAATACAGATGGCAACACGAATGCTGATTTTGGCATTGCTGGTGCAACAGGCGTTATCACAGTTGCAAAAGCCCTTGACATGTCTACAACACCCAAGTACACCCTCCACGTGATAGCTAAAGATGGTGCTTCACCAGAACACACATCGACTGCCACAGTGAAAGTCTCCGTTCAATCAGCATGTAGTAACGCCGGGACTACTGTACTCAATTTGTCAGCGATACTGTTATCCCTCCTTTCCACACAACTTTAACAATATACAACGACATACTGTGACAAACAATTGTTGTTATATTTTTCTGGTCCTTAAAGTTGTTTTGTTTTGCCTTTTAATTGCGTGGTGTAGTTTTTTAATGTGGCTTAAATACTATAGTTTGCTTAAGTTTCGCCCTGTCTGCATATGTACATTGAATAAATCAATGTTAAATGAAATGCTAACATTAAAAGCATAGTAAAATAATCAAATACGAGGATTTACTTCTTAGCATCCATCGTTATGTCTTTTATGTCAAAGATCATTGTGTTTACTATTTTTTTGTCCATGGATCCTATTTTTATCAATTAATCCTTTCGATTTACAGATAAGATATATGCGGAATCAAGAATTCCTTCCGATTTATGTAAATTCATATATTTGTTTCCCAGCATGTCATATTAATGAATGAAAACGGGAACAAATTTCACGCCTCCACCGCTGGGTAGGCAGTATAAAAGACAAAACAAAAAATAAACTTAAATTCGGTAATTTATTTCTTACATTTGTATCTGTACACATACTGCTGCAAACAAAGCTATAGATAGGAATGTATACACAATGGTAGGTCGGACGAGGATTTTGAAGTAATTCAACAGAATAGTAGATTGATCTCAGTTATTGCCCCTGTTATAAATAGAAACCATTTTCTTTTAATTTGACATGAAAAAATGCATATATGCATTACTATATTAGTCCCTTTTGTAACTATTTTTATTTACTGTTTGTATATTTGTTACAATTGTAATAACAGAAAACAGATTTCATTGAACGCCGCCTTTCCTTGTTGATCTTGTTCATCATATCTGTTCATTTTGACAGCTGTTTTGTATGTTCCAAAGGAGATACATTTAATATATTCTAATCTCTAGCAAGCCTTCCAAATTTCAGGATGAACAATGTCTTTCGTCCGCCCATTTATCTATAATATACAATTCTTTTTACATCCAGTTAACCATTGGACAGTTTATAAGAATATCTGATCATCAGATGTCTACTAAATCATCGTCATTTGCTGCATTTTTTGTTTGGATGCTCTTTGATGCTTTGCATCAATGCTTTTCTTGTGAATATACCAATGATATACCATTTGCCGCGAAACCTGTATGTAAAGGACATTTTGAAAAATAAAGCCAATGAAAGTTTTTGTTTTGGCTAATTTACATATGGATTTTTTTGTATATCTTACCATGATTAGTTGTTGCTATTTGTAGAAAATACGTGAAAAAGAAAATGTACATGCTTTGATATTTTTATCATCTAATATTACTGACTACAGTAGTGACACAAACAGAACAATGTTGCACTACTGTCATGTCGCATTACATTTACAAGTCTTGTATTAGTATTACTTTCCTTACCAGGTAGGCATCAGTGAAAGCATATTTTATTTAATTTGATATCTGGCTTCTCTCTCATGGACAGTGCATACGATAAGTATCATTATGCAAAAATGATTCTAAAACATCTGGAATAATGTACAATAGTACTTAATCCGAATAGCACATGACCTGTGCGTAGAAATGATTTGGTAAGGGATCTGTAATGAGCGCAGAGCTTCTTAAGTGCTGCATTGCAGCAACATTTGTACTTGTTTTATAAATACATTGCATATTTAAATGGTATATAACAAATAGTGCTGCACAATGACAAATATCTCTAATCATGAACAAGGGGTTTAATATACAATCATGTTGAGAATAGGATTTCATTTTTGTTCAGAAAAGCTGGAGGGCTGAGCAATCCAAGGTAGTTAACAGAAAGGTCACAAAATATGACAATTACCATTAACTATCTATAACAATTTTTGTCAGTTGCAAAACTGTTATTCACAACTGTATAATTAATAAAAATTCAGTTTTAAAATCAATTGTCAACAATGATGGGAGGATAGGTGGTTATGTGGTGTAAATGATGCATATTCTTTTACTTCAAAACACTGTAAGTTTCTCTATTCTTGACTATATCAGTTAAACGAAACGTTTGAGATCATTTAAGGACGATTATTTCTGAATGGTTGTTTGAAATGTTATGAAAAGATTATCTCCCGTGAATTGCAATGCGTTTATGAAGGCATAGAATAAATATGGTTAAAATTAAAGCTTCAATCGTGTTTGATTTTTTAATTAACTGAAACATTCTGATTAGAGGTTTGAGAATAATTTATTAAATATTAAATAAGACAGTTTCATTACCTGCTCCCTCATTATATGTTAACCTAAAATGCAAGACGTAAAGATTTCTCAAGTTAACTATTTTTGCATAAAAAAACTGCTGCAGCAGGTGTACATGGACGGAGAAGAAAACATGAATAAGTGGCACCATGCGCCGTTTTTCCACGTTTCTTTAATATCTGTTACGCAGTGCGCAATGTAAAAACAGCTTAATGCTTTATTATCAAATCTTAACTCTCAAATGACATTGCACTAGCACGTAGCAAGCATCACAAAATAATCTGCATAGTTATCGGTTTAATTCCAAACTTCAGAGTTGTAATAATATTCTGGTCCTTCGGGATCATTAATAACAGCTCTTTTAAGTGATGAAAATTGAGTACCACTCAAGCCGAAGCTGGAGAGGCATGGGAAATGTTGCACCTTTTCACTATCCCTCATGTATAGACTTATTCAAACCGAGTCTGCTATTTTCATGTAAATTTGTGGAGGTCAATACTTCCGATGGATCACACTTTCTCCAATATTTTCATACAATTCCGAGCCTGCAATAATAAATAATCAACACCTTCAAATGTATCAAACAAATCTGGGAAAAGTCTGATCCCTCGGAAGCATTAATCACAACAAATTTGAAAATTGCAGACTCGGTTTGATTGAATCTGTAAATGAGGGAGAATGAAAAAGTGAAACATCCCTAACGCCCCCTTTTTTAACTACATTTTGTTTTTATCTGTTTATTTTTGACAATATATCTTTTTACTTGCTTACTTATTAAGCCAATCATATCATATTTGATTCAATTAATTGATAAATGATGACCTCCCAATCTCCTGGCATCAGGAATAATCGTTTGAAATTTTAATGTAACGTATGATAAGAATAGATATTATTTCTTTTTCGAAAAAAAAAATAAACGTTATTTGGCGTAATACCTTCATATCATTATTCTAATGTACACATATATTATGTTATAAATGCTCTTTAATTTCAAGTATTAAAATGAACACGTTATGCCTCTCTGGTTGCATTACTAGTGCACTGATAGTTTACTTGACTTACTGCGTAATGTGTTTATTTTAAGTTTATATCTATTATATCATCCAGTACATGCAGTAAGGACACAACTTCACCATCTACAAACTTAAAAAAAGAGAAAATATTAAAAAGTCAAACAAATCTGACAAGGGGAGACAATCATCTTAGGAAAAATTAAATCAAAGCAAATAGTTGAAAATTGCAGGCTCAATTTAATCGACTCTTTATGAAAGATTATGTAAAGGGCAATACCTCTTGCGCCCTACCCTTGCATCGACTCACGAGGTATTCAATCATCGATAATCAAAGATCCCTAAGGACCAGAAACATATAACTAGACTGAAAAAAAAAGACTTAGGTATTCACAAAACACCCTATTGTTATTCCTATTGTCATTACCAAAATAATTATAATTTTTTTTATTTGCTTCAGGTTTAAAGGGTTAAAGAAATACCGAATATACATATAGTAGTTACTTATTTTATCAGCGAGAATTCCCAATGTATGTCCGTAATACATCGGTCACTTTCGTAGTCAGTACACAATACTTCGAATTCATTCGGAGTAATCTTGATTATTATAATTATAAAATATTTTATTTTAGCCAATGGAATAATTTATGATTTCCCGGCGATAATATATAAAAATAGTTTTATAGACCTGCAACAAAAACATGTATACTTGACTCTCAGAATGCATTTGGTATTATGAGAAGAAATTTATGTTTAAATCACAACTAAAAGAAAAAAGAAACAGAAAGAAGGGGAAAAACACGTCTTAAATGCATCTTTTGGTCGTTTAAATATTTTATGCTGTAATGCGAGAAAAAATATTTACGCATATTTACGCATAATGATTAAGTAAAATAAGCTTTGCAAAGTAGGTGTTTTGTTCAAAACTTCTGCAATACTTATGCTGCTTGTAATGATGAAGGCTAACATCCCCTTATTTATACATGTTTATTTTGTCAGTTTAAAAAAACAGTAGCCTTTCCACAAAATCTTCTTTTACTTAGAACGTCCTCTATATTTCATGAAAAATTATTTTTATTTCATGGAAATTCTTTTTTATTTTATTTTTGTTTGTAAGAAATAAGACGTTGACATAAATTGTATACTTTTATTATATCGGTCAATATACCTATGTAAAGACACACTATATTGCGCATTATTTGTGGAACATGATATTTAAGGATGTTATTCTCTATCATATAGATGTTATTGTGTATTTATTAGACGGCACATGCACACGCCGTCTAGTAGATATGCATTTGTCCGTATAGCAATGGGAAAAATATTAGACTTAATTTTGTGCATTTTTTTTGTTTTAACAAAATCAAATTGTTTTCAATTTTTTAATAAAAATAGCTTTTCTGATGTACAACATGTTACAGAGCTTTAAATGATTAAAATAAACGTTTTACTGAAGTGATAGTGTCATGTTTGACTATCATATTCTTTTTATAATTATCATATTTTATCTACCTAATAAATTACGTGCCAATGAGCCAGTCTATAGTCGATCGTTCTAAAACCCGTTGAGACCCGTCTATAATCTAATGACGGGCAGGGAACAAGAGGTATCACTAAAATATGCAACGGAGATTATTTTGGCGCTACGGACACAGCGGAAATATTTTTTGCAAAACAGGCAAAACGTGTGCGGCATATTATTCATTTAAATAATTGATATTTAAGTTACAAAACAGATTAACTGAGTGAAACAGTACGCTTATTGTCAAGCGTATCACAAATATTTGCAATAGGTTATTTTGAAGGATTCTGTGACCGACGATTATTCTCTTTTGCCTAGATTGTTTTTAAAACATTTTGTGGTCCAATACCTAGATTCTAGGCGAATATGTAATCTTTTGTTTATTCAAGTAGTTTAACCTTTTATAAATAAGTAAACAATACGTAACAAATTGATTATATATATATCAATTTATTCATAACTATTATTTGCCATTACAGACATATTTTCGCTATTTGTAAAATAACAGACAGTAGTCCTCAAAATCATTCAAACAATAAGCAATTCGCACCAATATTTAAATGGACATATTCTCGGCACATATTGTCTTGAATTTATTTTTAAGTTTACCTACGAACAGAACAAAACATGTCTTTATTAACTCAAGTTACATACAATATAACACACGAGTATACATAACAGTAGTGAATATTTGTTAATTTTAACACATGACATGGTTTTATTTAATAAATTTCTACACACAGTATATTATTTTTAAGGTATTTGTAAGTAAAATTAATAATTATCATAAGAGATGAAAAAAAAAGAAAAAGAAGAGAGAAAAAAAAACACAAACAAACAGCTACCGCCTAAATAATTTGAATTTTACTTGTTATCCAATTTGTTTTGCTTCGTCCAGACGTTTCAATCTTTGTCGCAACAGACAAACATTTCAGAATTTCAGACACATACCAAGAACATGGAGAAAAAAATTAATAAGTGCTTCAGATATTCAACTGTAAGAGAGCACGATTTTCAGTTCTGATTTTGTACATTACCTGTGACTGTTCACAACATTTGGCGGCGTCTTTGATGTGCAGCATCAACATTTAACTTGTATATACCTGTTTTGCAAATGAGTTCCCAGTATTCTAATAATAGCTGTTAGAGGAGACAGCATGCTCGAATGATTAAATACAGGTCCTAATACTGGGCCTATGAAAACAACAACAACAACAACCAAAAATGCCAACAAAAACAATAAATTATGATATAAATATATCTATGTTTAATATCAATAAAGCACTCAATGTTCAGCGTTTTGTATCACATGTTATTTTTGTGACTATGTCAAAAAATAGATTTTTTTCTGCTCTAAAGGTTTTTTTAAACTTGCCATGTTATAATGATATGGGAAAAGATGTATGTCAAATTTGAATTTATAGTTTAAGATTAATTCATTA